TGCGCGCTCTGGCCAGTGCCAGAGCCTCCACGACCACCACCGCCGCCTCCACCACGACCACCACCGCCCCTGCCGCCGCCACGTCCACTGCCGCCACCACCACCGCCCCCACCGCGGCCACCGCCGCCGCCGCTGCCTCCACCACCCCCACCGCTGCCACTAGCCCCTCCAGCCCCGCCACCGCCCCCGCCGCTGCCACCACTCCCACCACCACCTCCCCCGCCGTCACCCCCACCGCCCTTGCCTCCCCTGCCCTTGCCGCTGCGGCGCCCGCTGGGAGCGGACGCAGAGCCGACCTGCTCAGCATCAAGAAGGTCGACAGCAGCAGCAGAGGCGACAGAGGGGAGGAGGGGGGAGGGGGAACACCCCTCGAAGAAAGGGGTGCGGGGGTCGCCACGAGAGGCACCTACAGCTACAATACTCTTCTCAGCTGCAAGTAGTTCCTTCTCTAGGGCGGCAATGGTGAGCTCAGTGGGACAGCGAGCTAGGAAGTGGTCCCTGACTGTACGCAGAGTGTCAGGGAGGCGGGTGACTAGGTGGTAGAGAGTGAGCCAGAGCGGGGGAGGGTTGGATGCAAGAAACTCAGCGGGCATGGCTGCACGGAAGCGGGCATCACTAGTACGGAGGTGAGTGATGAGGTCAGCGACTGTCTGGAAAGCGGACAGGTCGGGGAACAGGTAGGGAAGGGAGAGACGGCCTAGTGCAGTTGAGGCCGGGGAGGAGTAGCGCGCAACTACAGCAGTGTACAGGGCCTGCGCAGTCTGATGCTGGCCGAAGTGCTCACGCTCATCGACTGGCAGGGAGTTGCGAATGGCAAAGCGGGCGTGGGCATCGCGAGTCTGCCACTGCGAGCGAGCAGTAGCGGTAGCAGTAGTAGCAGGAGCAGGGACTGTGCCTAGTGCGTGATCGTACAGCGAGATATCCTCTCTAGCAGTGAGCTGGAGGAACAGGTGCAGATCATCAAGCCAGGTATCAAACTTAATCGGGCGGCCTTCAGAATCGAACGAGAGAACTGTAGGGCTAGCCATAGCTGAAGTAGCAGTAGCAGCAGTGGTGGTAGTAGCAGTAGCAGTAGCAGTAGCATTAGCAGTAGTAGTAGCAGTGGTGTGCACAGGCAAGTAGGGCGCGGCTCGGCTAGGGCGGCGCGGCTCGGCCAGGGCGGCGCGACTCGGCTAGGGCGGCGCGGCTCGGCTGGGGCGGCGCGGCTCGGCTGGGTCGCGCGGTTCGGTTCGGGTCGCGCCGTGCGGCTCGGTCGTAGAGGGGCGAGCGCGGGAGGGCCGGTCGGGGCTAGCGCGGGAGGGCCGTGAGAGGCTAGCGCGGGGCCTGCAGGGGCCGTGGGAGGCTAGCGCGGGGCCGACGGGGGCCTTAGGAGGCTAGCGCGGGGCCGATCGGGGGCCTTAGGAGGCTAGCGCGGGGCTAGCGTGGGGCCGACGGGGGCTTAGGAGGCTAGCGCGGGGCCGATCGGGGGCCTTAGGAGGCTAGCGCGGGGCTAGCGTGGGGCCGACGGGGGCCTTAGGAGGTTAGCGCGGGGCCGATCGGGGGCCGTGAGAGGCTAGCGCGGGGCCATACGGGGCCTTGAGAAGGAGGCGCTCGAGGCGCAGGAAAAAGAACGGCGGCGCACGAGGGCGCGGCTAGCGGAAACGGTGGGCCCTATCGTTTCGGTCCTAGGTGGAACCTAGGCTCGTAATACCATGTCAGAATGAGAAACGAGAATGAGGAGTGACTAGCAGGAACAACAGTACAAATATGTCAAACCCTAATCTGGTGTACCCCTTATGGTGTGACCCACTACAGCCTAGAACCACACAAACATATAAATGTTTGACAAGAAGAAGGCGGACCCCTCCCGTTCTGCTCCGTCAACGTCCCCATGGACGAAGAAAATCCTCGCGAAAGCGCCAACGCCGAAGTCTTCTACCACTTCGCCGACAATGGTTACGTAACACTTGCGACAGTCAACACCAACGAAGCAGAAAGAATAGGACCGAATTTCATAACCGACCCAGAAACGGGAGATGAAGCAGCTTATCCCGAGGACACAATACCCCCCCGCTACTCACAGACTGGACTGCAGATTCTCGGCCTCGTCACCGCAGTCCACGGCCATCCTCTTCCTGAAGAGCCTGCGACGGTTCAGCAGGCTCTGGGGGGGGAACACAGGGAGAAATGGCGTGAAGCCATGGACAGAGAATTAAAGGCCTTGGAGGAACGGAACACCTGGAAAGTCGTTCCAATTAGCGTGGCAAGGAACAAGACCATCCTCACCGGGAAATGGGTCTTCCGCATCAAAACGAAGGCAGACGGCACAATCGAGAAGTTCAAAGCACGCTGGGTCGTGCGAGGATTCGATCAGGAACACGGACGGGACTTCACCGAGACATTCGCCCCGGTTAGCCGACACACCTCACTCCGAATTCTCCTCGCGATCGCCGCCATGAAGAAAAGGAAACTACGGCAAATCGGCGTTGCTAACGCCTTCCTCTACGCACCCGTCGACGCCGAAATCTTCGTTGAGCTCCCACATGGTACCCACGGGTAACCTAATCAGGTTTGCCAGCTACTGAAATCGCTCTACGGAATCAAACAGGCCCCACGGCTGTGGCAACAGCACCTACACACCCGCCTCACCCGCATCGGATTCCGTCAACTGCCTCACGACCAAGGCATGTACCGACTCACCAAAGACGCCAACTACATTCTGCTTATCGGCTATGTCGACGATTTACTCTACATCGGTTCTACCGACGACATAACTACCTGGTTCGAAAGGGAGCTGAAGAGGGACCTCACACTCACGGTCTCCACTACCGTCACTCAGTATCTCGGACTCAACATCCGCGAAGAAGAAAACGCGATCCACCTCAGCGCCGAAAAGTATGCCGACACCATCGCCAAACGCTTCGCGCTCACACCCGCTACTATCTCCACGCCATACCGCTACACGACAGGGAACGGCAAAGGAAGCTCCGCCTTACTCAAAACCGCCGGAATACGCGACTACCAGCGAAAACTGGGCTGCCTCCTCTTCGCAGCCGTCACCTGCCGGCCAGACCTGTCCTACTCCGCAAGTCAACTTGCTACCTATCTCAAGAGGCCCGAAACAGAACACCTAGCGGAACTCGACCGCGCTCTTCACTATTTCGTGAGCACCGCAACGATCGGCCTGACGTACTACAAAAACACAACTACGCCGACGAAACTAATCGGCTACGTCGATGCCGATCACGCCGGCGACTCAGATAACAGGCGCTCCCGCACTGGCTACATCTACCGCCTCGAACCTATCGGACCTATCTCCTGGCAATCGAGCAAGCAGGAACTAATTGCTCTCTCTTCAGCTGAAGCAGAATATATCGCCCTCTGCTCAGCTACCAAGGAAGGACTCTACCTTCGCGAGCTGCTGGAAGAAGCGAAGTTAGCCGAGTTGCCCAACTTCACTTTGTTCTGCGACAACCAATCTGCAATTCGCATCGCCAACAAGAGTGGATTCGCGAACAGAACGAAGCATATCGCCCTGCGATACTTCTTCGTGAAGGACGAGATCGAGAAAGGGAAACTTAAACTATCCTACTGTCCCACGTCCGAGATGGCAGCTGACTACTTGACCAAGAAGCTCGGAAAACAGAAGTTCGAGTACTGCATGCTGCTGACTGGACAAAGCCACGTCACCATCAGCGACACTCCAGAAGCGAAGGGGAGTGTTGGGAACAAATAGTTTAAGCGCCTCTGTCGTGTCAGAACTCAAGACACAAGCGAAGCAGCTCAAATCGAAGCATCGCGAGTCAACCCTCGGAAGTTAACGTAACCGCTGGAGGTTACGAGAAAGTCAAAGGTCAGCGACCTTTGACCTGACGCAGCGCGACAGCAAGGACACACAACTGACTCGACATTGAGCAGTTGCCCGAGTCGCACTATATCGAACCGCACCAGTAAAGTAGTCATAATGTCTCTTCATATTCTTTGTACTCATATATTTATTCCTGTATCTCTTTGCTTTAATCAACTTACTTTGCCCTCACATACTAGCGCAAGGTGGTTCAAGGACTTTATTCAACGCTTCCGCTATTACATCACTTACTCAGACTTTAACTCTACAAAGATCCTAGGGCTTTTCAGCCCAACAGCATGAAGCTGAGCTAATACTTTTCTCAGCGTTTACTTTATTCTGCATTGTATTTCACTACAAGCACTTTGACCACGCTGACTCGCTCACCCCCAAGCGACACTCAACAGTGCCGCGCCGACTTTCCAGTATTTTCTCCTCCTCCTTCCGACCCCCTCTACGTTGACTGGATTCGCGTTGACGCCCAAATCCTCCTCGCCATCCGATAGTCAAACAAAGATTTCTCCTAATGGCAGCAAAGGCGATGGCAGCCGAAGTACAAATAGCGAGCTCGTCCGACGCATTACCCAGTGTAGCGCTTGCCTCAGACACCTTTCCACACCGCAGCGGTCGAACCTCCTTGGCCATCCCAGCAGCATTGCCTCGTCGGCTCCCACTCGAACCGCCGTCGCCGTCGCCGCTTTTGCGCCACCGAAATCTGTGGCTCGTTTCCCTCTTCGCCACTCCCACTCGCATCTCCTCTTCGCATTTGACTCGCGCCCTCAGGTGTGTATCCAGTGACCCTGAACCACTGGCAGTGGTTTGATTCGTCGCATCCTCGACACGCCGCTGAACTATTTCTAGTTACACGCGAACCTTTCAACGTTACGTGCCGCCCGCCATGTTGCCTCCTCGCCGCGCCTCGTCCTGCCTCATCCCCGCACTCGCGCTCGTCGCGCTCCTCTGCTTCGCGCGCATCGATCACGCCGCGTGCAATGCGCGCTCGTTCGGCCTTCCGCGTTTCGGGGGAAGGCTCGGCGGCTTGGTGGGAGGGTCGGGGACAAGCGGCATCTGGTCCTAATTCCGCCCCCCCGGGACCGGCGGCGCCGGGGGAAGTGGCGCGACGAGCGGCGGGCAGAGCGGGCAGGGCGGGTTTGGCTCGCAAGGAGGTGGCGGAATGAGCGGACAACCGAGTAGCACGGGCGGAGGAGACATGGGCGGAGGAGGCTTGGGCGGGGGAGGCATGGGCGGAGGAGGCATGGGCGGAGGAGGCATGGGCGGAGGACCAGGCATGGGCGGACCAGGCATGGGCGGAGCAGGGATGGGCGGAGCAGGGATGGGCGGGGGAGGCATGGGCGGAGGAGGCATGGGTGGGGGAGGCATGGGCGGAGGAGGCATGGGTGGGGGAGGCATGGGCGGAGGAGGCATGGGCGGAGGAGGCATGGGCGGAGGAGGCATGGGCGGAGGGGGCATGGGCGGAGGAGGCATGGGCGGAGGGGGCATGGGTGGAGGAGGCATGGGCGGGGGAGGCATGGGCGGAGGAGGCATGGGCGGAGGAGGCATGGGCGAGATAGGCATGGGCGGAGGGGGCATGGGCGGAGGAGGCATGGGCGGAGGGGGCATGGGCGGAGGGGGCATGGGCGGGGGAGGCATGGGCGGAGGTGGCATGGGCGGAGGGGGCATGGGCGGAGGGGGCATGGGCGGAGGAGGCATGGGCGGGGGAGGCATGGGCGGAGGAGGCATGGGCGGGATAGGCATGGGCGGAGGGGGCATGGGCGGAGGAGGCATGGGCGGATGGGGCATGGGCGGAGGGGGCATGGGCGGGGGAGGCATGGGCGGAGGGGGCATGGGCGGAGTGGGCATGGGCGGAGGGGGCATGGGCGGAGGAGGCATGGGCGGGGGAGGCATGGGCGGCGGGTCATCGGGTGGGAGTGCATGTGGCAACAGCAGCAGCAGCAGCAGGAGCGCCAAGCTCACGAGCAGCAATGGCAAGAGGTGCGCCCACCCGCTCTGCGTGCCATACTCCTTCCCTCCTAGCCTCATAACCGCTTCATGCACACTCAAGGCATACTCATCACTTCCCTTCGTGCCTGTCCTTCCGTCTCCCCCCTGCGCTGCTCGCCCCTGCCCCCCCTGCGCCCCTGCGCTGCTCTCCCTTTGTTCCTCCGGCCCCATTGCCTAAACCTTAAACCCCATGGCAGGGTGATGGCGAGCAACGGGTGTCCGGGGTACGAGTGGCGAGTTGGGGGCACGGTGAACACGCCAGTGCAGCAGACGCTCTCCTTCGCTGTGCCGCTCGCCCCCACGCTCGGAGAGGGGGAGGTGCAGGGGAGAGAGGCGAGGGGCAGGGGAGAGAGGCGAGGGGCAGGGGAGAGAGGCGAGGGGCAGGGGAGAGAGGCGAGGGGCAGGGGAGAGAGGCGAGGGGCAGGGGAGAGAGGCGAGGGGCAGGGGAGAGAGGCGAGGGGCAGGGGAGAGAGGCGAGGGGCAGGGGAGAGAGGCGAGGGGCAGGGGAGAGAGGCGAGGGGCAGGGGAGAGAGGCGAGGGGCAGGGGAGAGTGAGGATGGTGGGCCGTTGATGGCACTTGGCTTGTGAGAAGGATCAATCGGCTTATGGGATGGGGGAATGGACATGGCCAGCATAAATCACTAGCTGCACTCACCATTGCCGTTCCCTTCTAGCGTCCACTCCTCTGTCCCATCATCTTGCCAGCTACCTACCTTCTCTCTCGCTGTGCAGTGTGCCACTGCATCCCCCCTCACTCACTCACCCCTCATCCCCTTGTGTCCCACCCTTCCCTCCTGCCCGCAGTGCATGCGACGCGCTGGGGCGGGACGCGTTGAAGTATGAGGGGCCGAGCTTCGACACGTGTGGGGGTCACCCGTCTCCCTTCGGCCAGTACCACTACCACGTCGCGCCTGGTGTCGCCAACCCCTCTGCCATCTCCGCCTCTCGCACCACCGACTTCCAGCTCTGCTCGTGCGTTAACCCCCATGCCTTCTCCCATGCCTGCTTCCATGCCTGCTCCCATGCCTGCTCCCATGCCTGCTCCCATGCCTGCTCTGCTGCCAGTCACACATTGCTGCCAGTTAATATGTTCGTCTCCCCACTGCGGTGCACGTGCTGCTTCCGTGGCTTCTTCCACACCGAACCGTGCCTTGAGCCGTCCATGCATCCTTGCCTCATGCCATTCGTTCCCATGACATCACTAGGGATTCTCATGCTATCTCTCCATGCACTCACATCTTTCCCTCTTCCCATCCACCCATTCCCACCCGCAGCGCCTCGTTCTGGCAGGACACCCCAGGCGAGCACTCTCCACTCGTGGGATTCCTGGCGGACGGCATTCCGCTCTACGGCCAGCGTGGAGCAGGGGGGGAGCTACCTACCGGGGTGGACGAGTGCGGGGGGCACGTGGGGGACGGCAGCGCGGGCGAGCCGGCGTTCTACCACTACCACGCCAGCAGTACCGCGCCCTACACCGTGGCGTGCCTCAAGGGCTGCGTCGCCTCCTCTGACTGGGCCAACCTCGGCTCTGCTTCCTGCACCACGGGCAGCAGTGATTGCGCATGGCAGTGGCGTGCAGAAAATGGCAGCAAGGGTTGGTGATGGAGCGTGTGTAACCGTTACCTTTGCTCTGCTCTGCTTTGGCTTTCCTTTTCTCTCCTCTCCTCTCCTCTCCTCTCCTCTTTTCTCCTCTCCTCTCCTCTCCTCTCCTCTTTTCTCCTCTCCTCTCCTCTCCTCTTTTCTCCTCTCCTCTCCTCTCCTCTCCTCTCTTCTCCTCTCCTATCCTCCTCTTTTCTCCTCTCCTCTCCTCTCCTCTCCTCTCCTCTCCTCTTTTCTCCTCTCCTCTCCTCTCCTCTCCTCTCCTCTTTTCTCCTTTCCTCTCCTCTCCTCTCCGCTCCGCTCCTCTCCTCTCCTCTCCTCTCCTCTCCTCTCCTCTCCTCTCCTCTCCTCTCCTCTTCCCCGCTCCTCCTCTTCACCCTGCTCCTCTCCACTTCACTCCGCTCCGTTTCTCCTCTCCCCATACCTCTCTTCACTCGCTCCTCGCTTACTTTTGCATCCTCATCCACCCTCTCCCCCCTTGGACCTCCCAATCCATCTCCCCCACACCAGAGCAATACGACTACTCGTCGCTGGCAGCAGTGCAAGCAGCATAGCTCCACAGCTCCCATGCCACACGCCTGCATCGCCCACCTACTCACTGATGCATGACGTGACGACAGAAGGCTCAACAACTTTGCGTGCGAGCTGTAGCCAGTGATGCATGATGGCAGGCAGTGCCTGTCTTGCACATGGGGAGGAGGTTACGTGGCCAATTGTGACCTTTCAAAGTTTCTTGGTGTGCTGAGGGTGTGTTCCTACCTCGTTTCAACTCACCACTCACCACGCTAGGTGGTTGGCGCGAGGTGGGAACGTGATACGCTTTAATTTCTGCTTGTTGGGTGTGTTTGTGGTGATTCTACCGTACTTTTGATTTGGGAGTTGTGTGACTAGGGCTATCCAGATCCTGTCCAGAATGATCTCTATCTAGACCACCTTGTTTGTGCAACCTAATTGCTGGATTTGATCTATTCTGGTGCAAGATTATCATTATCAAAGCCTCATTAAACGAATCCACCTCACCCTTCCTGTGCATGCGTCCACCATCCCACCCTTCCATGCACAGCTGCACTACCCCAGAAACCCCCCAGCTCCCCACAAACGCATGCATCCCACAGCCCCGCACACACACACATGCACCGCCCAGCCTTCAACCCCACACAGAAGAATACTGCACTCCACAAGAAGCTCTAAACCTGGAATGCTTGGAAAAATACTCAATAGGCAGGCAAGGGGCAAAACGGCTGGGTGTGACAAGCCCCTTGAGGAGCTGATTCAGTTGGGGAGGCACGACTGCAGCAGCAGCCAGTGGAAGCAAGTGGCAGCAGCAATACTCCAGGCCACCATCTCAACCCCTCACAAACAGGGCCCGTGCTAGGTTTCGGGTCATCCTGACCGCACCCCTCCCCCTCTAAAACCGCGTTAGGGCGAGCCTCAACATTTATCCTGACGCTTCAGGGAAGAACACCATGGCCATCCTGAATGTCCAGGGCAATTCATATACCATAACAACATCCTGATAGCACAGGGTTAAAATTGACACTATTCTGAAATTACAGGGCAAATTTAAAATTGCATCCTGATTTCAGGGTAATCAGGACGTTTTGCCCTGATACCAGTAACATGAGGCCTGCTCACAGATATATGCAATCACAACCACAACCTCCCCTCCCCCCTATTCCCCTGTCAAAGTTGTACTTGTAACATTATAGTGTTACTGTGCTTAGTCTAGGTTAAGACACATCATATGTGTTCTATCTTGGCTGTCTAGGACCGCTTTCGGAAAGGAATGAAAAAACTGTAGCATCGTAATTTACCTTGTTACCAGGTTTCGTCGAGGGTGGCGAGTCTACAGTAACATGATGTCACGAATATGTCCACGATTGTCTTGACGATCGATGTGTTTCTATTGACACACGACATGGTGACATGTAAACATACCGTACAAATCATGTCAACAAAACGCGTAGCGGACATTGATCTGTCACGTTGGGCTTGGCTGACTTGTGCGATTGCATATTTACTGCCTTGCACACCGGACGCCTGCCAATCGTGCGATCGGTGTGTTGATTCGGTGAAATGAAGACCCCCGATCGGGCGAGGATTAAACATAAGTGATACGCCCTTAGGGTTAGGCATTTGTACCAGATTCCATCTTAGTTTCATCACTCTGTTCTTCTCAACTTCTGACATGGTCTCATCATAGGTAGATCCTAGCTCCTAGGCCGCCCAGTAGACAGCTAGCCAGCTAGAGCCAGCCAGCCAGTTTGCACCCCCTAATCAGCCAACCAGCCAGCCAGTCAACGAGCCAGCGAGCTAGCGAGCCAGCCAGCCAGCACAGCGCCCGCCAGCCAGCCGCCCCTTAGAGTGCTGCGCACACGCAACACACGGACGAGAACCGCGCGCAACACGCATGCCTCGACCAGCGTGCGGAGGACGCAAACAGCCACGTGCAGCCACGCACACGCACGCGAGTACCCACACACACCAGCGCAAGAACACACCAGCGCGCACAGAGACACGCCAACTTGTTGTGAAAGTACAATCTTACTTGTAAGCTATAGTGGGGCACTCCTTATGGGGTACAGCACTTCTAGGGTTAGTACTTGTATCATAACTCTTGCTAATCCAATCATTTCTTGCACAGTTATTCTGACATGGTATTCAGAGCAGAAAACCTGTTACGTTTTTAGGGCCCACCGACCTTGCTAAGTTCCTGCCCGAAGCGCCCTTGCGCTGTCCGGCCCTCTTGCACAGTGTCACGCTGCCCTGCAGCTACTCGCACTGCCTGCCCTAACGCGCTGCCCTACTGTCACGCGCGCCCCTGCTGCCCGAGAGCAACCCCCTGCCCCGCGTGCCCCTGCTGCCCGCGTGAAGCCCCTGTCCCGTGCGCAGCCCCTGTCCCGCGCGCCCCTGTTGCTTGCGAGCAGCCCTTGCCCCGTGCGCCACTACTGCCTGTGAGCAGCCCCTGCCCCGTACGCCACTGCTGCTTGTGAGCAGCCCCTGCCTCGAGAGCCACTGCTGCCTGTGAGCAGCCCCTGCCCCGAGCGCCCTGCTGCCCGCGACCAGCCCCTGCCCTGCACGCCCCTTCTGCCTGCGAGCAACTCCTGCCCCAGCGCGCCCCATCTGCAGGGTTCACGCCCTACTGCCCTATGCGACGCGCCCTACTGCAGCCCGCGAGTCGCGCTCTGCTGCTCCGCGCGTCGCGCCCTGCTGCAGCCCGCACGTCGCGCCCTGCTGCAGCCCGCGCGCCGCGCTCGGCTGCTCCGCGCGTCGCGCTCTACGGCAGCCCGCGCGCGTCACTCTCTTCTGCCCCGCGCGTCGCGCCCTGCTGCAGCCCGCGTGTCGCGCCCTGCTGCCCCGCGCGTCACGCCCTGCTGCAGCCTGCGCGTTGTGCCCTGCTGCCCTGCAGAGCGCGCACCCTGCTGCCCGCGCCGCCCAGTCCGAGCTGCGCCGCCCAGCCCGAACCGCCCTGCCCAACCCGAGCCACCCTTCTGCTCATGCTACTGCTGCTGCTGGTGGAGGTGCTACTGGGAGTGCTGGAGGTGCTGCCGCCTAGCCCCACCGAGCTGCTCTGCTGCTACTTCTGCTGCTGCTGCTGCTGCTGCTCGTGCTACTGCTGCTCCTAGTGGAGGTGCTGCTGGGAAAGCTGAAGGTGCTGCTGGTGCTGGAGGTGCTGGAGCTGCGACTGGGAGTGGTGGAGGTGCTGCTGGTGCTGGAGGTGCTGGACCTACTACTGACCATTACGGCCTGTCATGGTCACTATCACGGCAGTTGCAGCGGCTAGGGGTGGACAGCGGCGGTCAATGCCTCTCCCGGACGACCCCACCCCTCAGCAGCTTCGTAAGTGGGTTATGCAGCGAGCCCGTCCAGGTGGTGGAGGCTTTGGTTTTCTGCGTACTGCACAGAGGCGGAAGCGGAGTTAGCAGGAGACCTTTTCCCCGCAGCTGCTTAGTGAGTTGGTTTCTTGGCGATGTGTCACTGGTTCCATAGAGGCTGTTGCTCTAGGTGCTAGTGAGTCTGTTGCCGCACTCGGTACTAGTGAGTCTGCTGCCGCTCCAGGTGCTAGTGATTCTGCTGCTGCACTCGGTCCTAGTGAGTCTGATGTTGCTCCAAGTGCTAGTGAGTCTGCTGCAGCTTTAGGTGCTCGTGCGTCTACCGCCACAGGTCCTGCCTCAGCTGAGGCCTTGCACGCTTTCACACTTGACTCAGGCGCGTCACGTTGCTTCTTTCGTGACTGCACCACACTCACACCTATTGCTGCACCAGTACAAGTCTCACTGGCTGACCCCACTGGGGGCCCAGTAGTCGCACAAGCCTCCACCGTCCTCCCGTGTTCAGCAGTCCCCTCCGGTTCTCTTTCAGATCTCCACCTCCCCATGTTCTCTACGAACTTGGTGAGCAACACTGCTATTCAGGATGTCTTGGTTGATACCTTTATTCCTGGAGGGCAGCGTGTGGCGATGTGTACGTGCTCCAGGACTGGCTGTCACCTAGCTACGTTCACTTGACGACCAGGGTCTAGTCTGTACACACTGACTACTGCGTCTACAGAGGTGGCTAAGTCAAGTCAGGTGGCTGCGTCGAGTTAGGGGTCTGCGTCTGGTCAGCTTGCAGCGTCTTGCTCATGTCGGGTACTCTCCCACCAAACTCTCCTCTAGCACCACCGCCTCGGTCACCCCTCACTGCCGCGTCTCTGCAGCATGCACTCCCGTCTCCTTGTCTTTGGGCTTCCCAGGTCCCTGCCCTCCCTCCCACGCTCGCCTGCACCGCCCTGCCTTTCCTGCGTCGAGGGGCGGCATCGCGCCGCTCCTCACTCCTCCGAGTTTCCTCCGACCACTGCTCCTCTGCAGACTCTCCACATGGACGTTTGGGGCCTGGCCCCCGTCGGTGGAACGGGCCATGAGCGCTACTTCCTGCTGGTTGTTGACGACTACACATGCTACACCACAGTCTTCCCCTTGCGGCGCAAGGCGGACGTCAGCGGTGTTTTGATCCCCTGGATCCATGCTACTCATCGCCAGCTGCGCGAGCGGTTTTGTCGGGACTTGCCAGTCCTGCGTCTGCACTCTGACAGGGGCGGTGAGTTCTCTTTCGGCCGCCTTGAGGTGTTCTGTAGAGACGAGCGCATCCGCCAGACGTTCACGCTTCTGGCCTCTCCTCAGCAGAATGGGATTGCCGAGCGTCGCATTGGCTTGGTCATGGAGGCTGCTCGTACCTCCATGATCCATGCGGCTGCTCCCCATTTTCTGTAGCCGTTTGCAGCTCGATACGATGGCAGTTCTACTACCCGCGTGACCGTCACGTGTTCTCCTCTCAGGACGTCACCTTTGACGAGTCGGTCTGTTTCTACAGGCTACACCAGCACGCGTCCCACCCGGTCCCCCTAGCGCCTCTCTTCCTAAAACTAGGCCCCCCCCCGGTAGACCCCCTCCCCCCACAGGGTCCTGCTCCCTCAGGTGTGTCTCAGGTAGACCCACCCCCCTTGGTTGAGCCTTTGAAGATCTCTTCTTCTTCCCCATCTTTCCTCCCACTTGCTTCGTTTCCTTGATGATGT